ATCCCGGCTATTTTCGCGACCCGGGATTGCGGAGCAGATCCAGATTCCTCTCTCTAAGCCCAGCGCTGATGATGTTTGGCATGATATAGGAGACGCTACCGGCATACATGAGCTACTAGGGCCAGATAAGAAGCCGTTTCTCTTATCCCTTCCTGGAGAATCCCGTCTCGTGTTTAGCCTCTTTGTTGACTGGTTCAACCCGTACGGCAACAAACAGTCTGGGAAGTCTCATTCGTCAGGGGCCATGTATATGGTCTGTCTTAATCTACCAAAGCACCTGCGATACAAACTCGAGAACGTTTACCTTGTTGGAGTTATGCCCGGTCCTCGTGAACCCTCCGTTATCCAGATTAACCACCTCCTCCGACCCCTCGTTAACGATCTCTATCAGCTGTGGCGACACGGCATATTCCTCAAAGGAACCCATGACTATCCACTGGGCAGGCTTATCCGGGTGGCACTGGGGCCTTTAGTATGTGACCTTCCAGCAGCAAGAAAAACCGCCGGATTTGCGGGCCATATGGCAAATCAATTCTGTAGTTTCTGCTACTTGCCGAAGGCCGAAATTGACAATTTTCTCAAAGCGACATGGCCGCTTCGATCGCAAGGGCAGCATCGAGAAGATGCAGAGCGATGGCATGGTGCAAAGAATCAAGCCCAACGCCGAAAAATGTTTGATCGCCGCAGCGTCCGATGGTCTGAACTCCTCCGCTTGCCTTACTGGGACGTTACCAAGTTCACTGTTCTTGACGCTATGCATAATCTCTTCTTGGGAGAACTTCAGCACCACTGTCGTGACATCTGGGAAATCGACGTCAAAGTCCAGGATGACAACGAAACTCAGACAAGAATGAAGCCGCATACGCCTATAGAACAGGAGGATAATCTGGCCAAAGTTGAGAAGGCTATTAAAACCCTCAACTTTAGCGGACTCAAGGCGCCTCGCAAAGGTTATCTTTCTGCTCTGGCTCAACTAAACGGGGTTTCTGTTTCCGGTTCTTCCATGACGAAAGAAGCTTATGCCACTGCTCTCATAGACTGGGTGAGTTCTTTCCTTTTCTTTTTCTAACTCAGCTGGGCTCACAAGGCTTGTTTAGTATCGAGAACGCCAGGGTTCTGCTATTCTTATCCCAGAGGTGCTAGACACATCAACAAACGACTTCAGACTTCAAGGGTCCTCAGATGATACCGCTGATATATCAAGACATCGCGTATTGTCCAAAAGCATTGTAGAGGCTGTTTGGGCTGACATGCAAGATACCACGCACCCGACCTGGCTCGTTCGGCCGCCTCATAACTTCGGGTCTCCTAGCCACGGGAAACTGACCGCTGATCAGTGGCGGACGGTTTGCTCTGTATCTCTCGTCATCACACTTGTCCGTCTCTGGGGAGAAGATACGAATGGGAGAGAGTTCAGATTGCTAAGCAACTTCATCAACCTGGTTATTGCAGTCGACATCGCTGCGAGACGAACGACGTCACCACAGCGCATAGACATGTATGCCAAACATATGACCGATTATCTCCGTGATCTTCGTGAACTGTTTCCTGATCATCGCCTGGTTCCTAATCACCATCTTTCCCTCCACCTTGACGAGTGTCTGCGTCTCTTTGGTCCGGTCCACTCTTGGTGGTCTTTCCCTTTTGAAAGATACAACGGGATCATGCGCCACTTCAATGTCAACAACAGACCTGGTATGTGTTAAGCATGTTTTCGTTCTTGCGATTAGCTGACAATAATTATTAGATGAACTAGAAATGACGTTCTCTAGGTTTTTCAGCATGGCTGCCAATCTGAGGGCCATGATACCGCATATACCGTTCCCCAACGTTCCCGAGTTTACTGACTTCAAAGAACATCTCCATACAGCTTTCTCTGCTGTGTCAACTTCTCCTCTTGACCGATCTATACTCGGCGGGAGCGCACAGAGCCACGACTCCGGCTACTTGAGCCCCTCAAAGAGATCTAAAAGCACATCCCTCTCAGACTCCACCTATACCAATCTACTCCGGCTCTTGAACTCTACTGGTAAGACCTACAAGGCCTGGAGATCCGGTGAAAAAAATCTCTGTATCCTTGATCCTGAAGCCCAGTTCTCGTCAACGGTCCAAGTGGGAGCCATTTCCTTCTCCATAGCTGACAAGGAGCGTGGCGTTGGGAACTCATTTGTTTTGTTCCGACTCCCGTCTTTGCCTTCGGATGCTATCGGCCACGCAGGTCAAATCCAGTCAATATTTTACCACACTCGGCTGGTCCATGATATTACCGTCACTGAGCCATACCTTGTGGTGAAGAGATTCTGTCCTCTCTCTGCTCGGGATGAGCCTCTCGACCCATATGCACGATTCAAAGGCCTTGGTGTAAAACTATGCTATGACGAACTAGAGTCCACAGAACATGTTCTAGGGCTCAAAAACATCATCTCTCATTTTGCATCCTTTAGATATGTTCCGCCTGTGCTCAACAAGCGGTGCGTTGTTGTTAGATCTTTGGATAGGGTATGGTCCTTCCGTCTTCATTACAACGAAGTCAGCTCATATGTCTTTAGGAATAAATATGCACCCGATATTCTTAATGTTTAGGGCGTATGGACATAGGGTTCGCATTTGGAGGAAACATAGTCACGAGCGGTCTACTACATATGACAACTTGAATTGGGATAGCTCTGGAGAATGCTGTATTTGCCAAACGAACTTCTCTCTTACGCCGTGACAATATTAATGCATGCCAGTCGTCCCTATAAGAGACACTTGGAAAGATACGCCCCCGCAAATGGCTTTCACCCTCCTCGTACCTATATGTATCCAGCGCTGATTGCAGCTGAGTATTCCGAATGCGTTGCTCATTGAACAGGGATAAAGGACTGGTGACATTGCATGCCATACAAGCGGCGTCAGTGGAAAAAAGAATGGAAATATACCCTAGGTGGCCAACTCGGAGCGGCGTGTGACGAGAAGCGACCAGTGGCATTGACGTAGTTCAGAGTGGGTCGATAGATTTGCATCGCAGTTATGTAGCGCTGACGGAAGTCGCGGGCACGGTGCTAGCGTTGGACGCGGCTATGGGATTAGCATAGAAGGAAGTGGACAACCTTGGACAACCATCCCCAGCGTATCGCATCGCTGTGTCTCTCTGCGCTGGAACTCGCAGATGTAACATGCAAAGCGATGTCTGTGCCTTTTAGAGAGCGGTCAGCCTTCGTTTCAGAAGTGGCAAGGGGACGGACGGCTCTGTGGTTGTTGCTGAAACTCAGCTTCGGCATCGGCTAGTATTTATGAGCGAGCAGTATCGGAGACAGGCGAGGGCGTTTCAGCACCGGTAATTGTGTGACTGTAGCCTCCCTGCATCACGGTAAGCCTTCATCCATCTTGATATAGAGTGCCCTGTTGACGTGAGCCTGAATCGAGAATCAGAACAATCCAAGGGGGCTGATGCCTGAGACATACGGCCAAAAGAAAAGTAACGAAAGCCTGTCCAAGGCTTGATCAATCAACAAAGTCTTGCGAAGGACTTGTTGCTTGTACATCATGATCTTGTGTACGTGAACGTCGACGGGTCCAACGCCTCTGGGAATCGGGACTGGAGGAAAGCCCGACTGCGTATCTTCGCGACTGCCGAAGCATTCAAAGAGTGAGAGAAGTCATTCAAACCACGGCTTGTTCTTTCTGCGCAATCGCTTGAATTTGAGGTAAAATCACGCAGCGGCCCTGGCTTCCGAAGGTATATATACTCCAACTCAATATATAGGGAAAGTAGTATGAGCGGTATATGACGGGGTATTGAGACGAACCAGTGCACTTGTGGTAAGGCCGCTGCCCTTCGGGATACATAGTACCTCATGGTATTTAGGCAAGACGAGCTTCACATGATGGATAACGACTCGATCATTTATGTCGGCATTAGACAACGAAGCATCACCGGATGAGGTGTAATAATTACGACCATGCGAATAGCCTGCAGCGGTCGATGTCATCATTTATCGTACAAGAATCGAGCGGTGTCACTCTCCTAAACACGTAAAAACAGAATATCAGCACAAATTCATGGTCGCTAAAGTAGTTCGGGTTGAGCTCACCAGCGCACTCGGAGGGTCATCAAGGAGAACATAATACATTCCCGTATATATCGCTCTCGCGAGAACATCACTGGTTTTTGTCCTTGTTCAGCCGAGCTCGAACTAGAGATCAAGGAACAGAGAAACCTACCTTGTAGCCGCCCCACCTAAACTGACATCCCTCGCCCCAATCTCCATCGCATCCCTGTCCCCGGTACATCCAAATCAGACTTGAGCGCGCAGCACTCGACCACGGCGTTGTACTTCTCCTTATCATACACGTATCCAGACAAGATACTGCTGTTGATCAACTGGTGCCGGAGCCGCGACATCTGTGCTGCGTACGAGAACTGGTGCGTATGGTCGTGCACGTCGACGCGCCGTGTGCTGTCATTTGCGTTGTGCTTGCCGTTCTTGTCTAAACGCGGCAAAAACAAAAATGTGAGCCGACTATGATCAGAATGAGAGTGTGGAACATACCTTTACCCTTGCCTCCAACTTGTTCCTTGGGCTTCTCGGGATCCCTGTTTCACTTAAATGGCCATTTCGCGATGGTAAGTCCCTCGAATGCACTCTCGAAGGTGATAGTTTCTTCGGCTTGCTTCAAAGAAGAGACCTGTGGAGATAATTTTTCTTTGTTGAGATATGTCTTGAGACGGCAGACAACAACAACAAGCGTCTAGCGTAGACAGATTTAGTTTTCTTAATTCTCTATTTCGCGGCTGAAAATATACCCGGAGAAGTTGTACAACGAGCATTGGGAGCTCGTTGAAAGGAAGCCTTCATGCATATTCATGTTTATCAGGCCATTGCTATCGCCCGAAATACCTTAGCTTTGTTTTCGCCTGATCATATTGAACAAGGCAATTACCTAGAAAGAAACCATCAGCACGGTGTATCGAGCACCACCGAACGTCGACTTTCTGTGATGGAGTTGGTGTAGACCTACGTGGAATAACCCTCGATGAGGGGCGAGAGGGACAGGAACTGGCTGCCCAAGCGGACGACAGCGCGAGCAGTTTCATGTTCAGTCAAGTCTACAATTAGGGGTCAGTAACATAATTCGATGGTAAAAACAAGGAAATACGAACCCTGAGTGAACAACGGCAGGAAGGATATGATGAACACCAAGAAAATAAAGAAAATACTGATGATTCAATGATGGATTCAGTCAAAGACGGCGTCAAGGTTGTAGCATCCGTCCATGCCAGGCAGGAGGTTTCCGTTCGACGCATATCTACAAATCACAACCGACGAGTTCAAGACACCCAGGTACACCACTAGGAAAGGGAGTGAATTTAAACGATAGGTATTAATTTGACCACCACTTACTACACAAAATGAAGAGCCGCATGGCCAAGGTGACGGGCATATTGTTGATGTGGAACCCAGGGTGAGCATAGTAGAACGTCAGGAGCCGATCAATTGGGAGCTGTGTGCCAAGGTAGTAGTACTCGCGTTTGGGTACTTGCTCATCTTCCCGTACCAATCTTCGTCTGGAAGTTGAGGTCGTTCCGAAACCGAGATCACGACCCTCGCCGCACTGGATATACTCCGTATGCTTGATGCGAGCGCCACGTCCAAAGGCATTCATACCAGCGTATATATCCTCGTCGAGATAGAGACCCTTCTGCGACTTGGAGACACCGTCAAGTGTGTTCATGTACAGAGCGTTCAGGAAATCGGGGTGACTGTAGTGAAGCTTTCCACCGATCCATGCCCAGTCACGAGCGGACAGGGTACCAAACGTCTGCTCCTTGCCGGCCGCGAGATCACCGAGGATACCGATGTTCTCCGAGAAGAGGTACTCGCGCGCGCCAACCGTGACGACGTATAGCTTGCGGAAGTCCTTGTGACCGTACTGCGCATAAGGACTCTGGGATGAAACAGAGTACCCAAATAAATCCCGAAGCTTGAGATATTCCTCGAGATAGTTGTCCCGGCTGGCATCGATGAGCTGCAAGTACTCGCCGCGGTAGAAGATGACAGCGTGATTCTGGCTGTCGGACTTCCCGTCACCGAGAATGGGATTACCAGGAAGCTCAATGTGGAACTTGGGACGGCGGTGGCCAGTCTCGAGAGTGAACTCGGAGTGATCATCAATGACGCAGAGAACAGACGCGCTTCACCACCGGCCTTGCGTGGAGGCTCCTCGTCAAGGTAGGTAACCTGCAAGTCGGGGTACGCACAGAGCAAAAACCCGGCGTTCTCGTACTCCCCCTTGCTGAACTCGGAGTAACGCTGCATCGAACGAGGAACTTGAAATTGCGGCGAGCCATGCGCTCGGGCTCACGCTCAAGCCTCTCAGTGTTGCCTCCGGACCGTCGAACAACTTCAGGTTTATCGACATGGTCTAGGAGCTTGATCGTCTAGGAATAGTGCATCGTGTCGAAGACTACGTGATCGGGGGTTTGAGCACGAAGCGAAGCCCAAATATGGGTACGCAGAGTGAACTCGAAGGGTGTGAAGCTCTTGGAACCAATGCAGTGGACCGGAAGATCGTCCATCTTCGACTGAGCCTTCTCATCGGCAGTGAAGGGGCTGTTGCTGCCGCCGTTGAACGTGGCAGATTCCTCGGCGATAATATTGTTATCCTGAACGAAGTTGTCCCATTCGACCGGGTGAAGCTGCTTCAATTACTCAAGAAGAGTAACACGAGTGTTCTGATCTTCCTGGGGAATGATCTCACGGAGCGAAAGCAGAATCTTCTCGCTGCAAGAGAGGGGGGGAGGGGGGCGAAAACCGTGAACGCGGGCATGGCATCGACCAGCAGAGGCTCCGGGAGATTGACGATGAAGGGCTGGGCGAAAAACGAGACTCGACGTTCAGTCTCGCTGCCGGCCGGGTAGGAATTTGTCCTTGAAGCCCTTGTCGCTCTGCGAGATGACGAACAGCAGGGCACGAAGACTGCGCTTGCTGTCATGTCCGGTGTCAACCTGGTGATAGAGGAGCTTCTGGACATAAATGCTCGCGGTACATCGAATGCGACAAGAGAAAATCAGTAAAACGCACCTTAGGCTTGTATCTGACGTCCATGTCTTTCGACGCTGAAATCTTCAAAGTAGACGTGCTTGGGCAGCCGAGTGTAACTTCAGGGTGTCCAAATCGACAAGCCAAGCATGAACGACCGGCCGATAATGAACACCGTATTCCAGATGATGTATCGCAAGAACTTGTCGAGATAGAACAAGATGAAGTCTATGACATGCATAATCGCCAGCGTGAAGTGAGCCGGGTCATGCAAAGGTTCGGGCCGAAGTACCTGTCGTTACAGTTCTGAATGGTTATCGTAACCATGACGGCAATTGGGTCACGGAGCGAGAACGTCAAGAACCAGTATGACTCCGTGGCCTTGCACCCGAAGATGAGCATCCACATGAAGATGGATACCATGCGGGCCTGGGTAGAGAGACCAGGGTAGCTGGCGGTGAAGGTTTGGATCACCATGGATAAGGTAGGCTATCATTTCGCGCCATGAACGCGAGGAAGAGTGAGCTCGGTCCCTTGGTAAACGTATGTGAAGAACGCGACCCGAGTGATACCAGGATAAGAGTACTAGTCCCCCAGCCGAGAGGATGACTGAGTTGCTACGCGCTGAAAATTTGTTATTGTCATCACATCGAGCGGGACATGAATCTTCAAAAGATAGGAGAATTTATACCAGCATTAGACATTTTTAGAAGGTTTGGGGAACAAAATACTCATAACAGTACAATTAGCCAGCATTGGTCCACGTAGTAAGGTTGCATACAAGAAAGGCTACGTGGTTGCCAAACGCGTCGTTTCTTCAACATAGAATCGTCAGCATTCACCCTCGGGATCATTTGGGGCAATGGTGACACATACGAGTAAAGCCAATTTCCCGCTCGCAGTGCACCCAATAATTACCGCCAATTCGCACTCGGGGAAGCTGACACCATTGCCACGTAGCGCGAACCAGTGGTCCAGCAGCATGCTCTCCGCAACGGGCGTATAGTCCTCCAGCATTGCCGATTCGGTGTTAATGTCAGACGTCCGACCGTTCCTGCGTAACGGTGAAGACGATCCGTCGTCGTTGCTGCAGTAGCTCATGGGCTTGCCGTTTTGCCTGGATTAGAAGAACACTATGTCAGCCCATTACCATCATGGGACAAATGATACGAGTCGTACCTTTGTCTCGTACCTTTGTTTTGCCGTCTATTGTTCCTCAGACCTGTCGGGAACTCCAGCCCACTTGAACGACCTATTCTTGATGGTGTTCGTGCGCACTCGCCAGCGATTGATTTTTCGGTCTGCTTCAGAGAAGCCCCGGGAGATATATCTTCTTCACAAAGCCTAGAGATTTATCTTGAGACGGCGGACATCAATGAGCGTTTGGGCCAAAAACATACCCGGACAATCAGGCAAAGAACGTCGGGAGCGCGTTCAAAGGAAGTGCAAAATTCGTGCGGCCTTAGGACTTCGCCTGTTCATTGTAAGCGCCATCATGTCGAGATACGACTTCCTCTTCGATCATGGTGGAGAGGGGTGCATTGGGAAGTGAGGTATGTGGGCTGGTTCCATGGCCATGGGTCGTTCTGTGCTGGGCAGTCGCGGTGCGCTCGCACAAAGGCAACTCCTCGCACGTGACTGAGCCATAAACGCAACGCGCGACCTCGCGATTCGCCGGCGCCAACTTGGGCGCTTGAATTTGATTAACGTGCACAATTTGGGCACGATAACACCTTCCCTCAAAGTCAGTAGTGAGAATCTCATTGACGAGTCAATTGCCCGCGCGCCTTTTCACTGCAGATTTTGGTCGGAGAAGTTAGTTCAATAGCAATTGGTTGAGTATTTAGCACGGTTTGCGACTAATTGATACACAAATTGCGAGAGAACGGAATTATAGAGGACGGTTTGCTCTTGTACATCTTCTCCCACGTTGATGGCTGAACGAGCGACAGCACCCCCTTGTTCGTCATAACCACATGCCTGTCATAGTTTGGAGGCACAGAGCCGTGTTCAAGGCGTACCCATTTATTGACGTCATCCGTTTTAGTCCAGATCCAGACTTGATGCATCTTTCGTGCTGTATGGACAAAGAAATCTCCCTGGATAGCATCGTCCTGGAGAGGAGGGTCGTCAATGGGCTTGAGTGACCAGGAGTTATATGCCCAAAACCCTTCGCCCGGACACCCTCTGAATGAGTGCCGGATGCGCTTGGAGATCTGGGTATAAATGATCAATTTCTTAATTGCCATTGCAAACCATAGCTTCGATAGATACTTCACCTCCAGCTCATCCGCTGTACCACTAGGCCAGTGGGCTTGGGAGGCGCTGTTCATCCGGTGGATAGGAGAGTCTGGGTGTTCCGATCTAAGCATATGAATCAATTAATGATATCAACATAATGTTTTGGACCACCACGTTGGTATGCCTCCACCCTCATGTTTGGGAGCAGCACCAGGGTTTGCTTCGGCCTGCAAGGAGACGACAAGTTTGTTGTCGTCAGGAATAGGTTCACTGTCCAAACATGTTTGTAGGCCCGCACTATGAAAGACAACAACCTTACTTGACGGTGGGTGTCCAGGTTTGATTCTCGAAGACCCAAGTCCGGGTTGCCCCCTGCTGCTGCTTCACCTTGGCGTGGTACGACCAGTTTGGGGGCTTCTGGAGCCCCAATCGAGTAGGTACGTCAACGCTGCCACTGAGCGGTGTCGAGCTTGTTTGTGTCCATTTCACAGGATCAGCCAGTTCGTCTACAGAGGGACCTGCAGAGGTAAGCATGTGGGATAAATCAAGCGTGCAAGCCGACATACTCCCCATGGTTTGACAGGTTACTGTGGTTCCTCAAGTGAAAAGCGGCAAAGTGGAGGTACAACAATTAGTTCAACATGGATAAGGGTCAAGATGCCGGTTGTGACATTCGCACGCCCATATCCGTGGTGCTGTGCGTCAAATGTGTCTTACGTGGCCATGGGTTCAGTCAGCCACACATTGACGTTGTCCTTGCAATCAACCACTGAGTTTGCAGCGTGCGCAAGTTACGGCATAATCTGGCATGGTGCATAAACATATATTCATGAGGTAAGGGGTCGACTCTAAGTAGTTCTGCGTGAGCATGACACTAATTCGTTGGTTTGCTTCGTTCAAGAGTACTCCCCCAACATCGCTGTGAGCACTTGTGCGACAATGTTACCCATCGCCTGTGCCACCTCCATCTCATCGCTATTCACCTTCTGGACGTACGCGTTAAATGAATTCGGATGATACCTTTCCAGCTCCATCTTGATAGCGTCTTGGGGTGCCATGCCCTGAGTCGCAACTCGCAAAATGTGGAAGATGAAGTTGTTGACTTCGGAAAAGCCGACTTCGTTGACGACCACTGACCCGTGATGAAAGATGGGCCACGGAAACTCTTGAACGCGGATGCTATGCGCGGATATGTGATCTTGGTGCTCGTGGAGGTAGGCCCATTTTCTCTCGTACTCGACAAGCGCACCCCAGACTGCTGCATCCTCGGAGATCGGATCCGTCCTGGGCGAGGAGCATTGGAGGTCGCAGACGTACTGCTCCCACTCTCGAGCAGCGCGCTGCTGTCTTTCTTGAACCAAGAACATCTCCTTTTTCCTAGCAAGGTCCTGTTCGGCGTCATGCCTGAGCCTTGCCATCTCCTCTCTTTCATACCTCTCCCTCTCCGCCTTCAGCTGCTCCTCCTCCGCCCTCAACCTGTCGTTCATCTCCTTGAGCTCCTTCTCCCTCACCATGCGAGCCTGTCTTTCTGCCTGCTTGATGATCCTTGATGTCTCTGCCTTACGGCGTACCAAGACGGCCTGTCGGCTAGCCAAGATCAGCTTCCTCTTCCTATCCTTCTTCAAGCGTATCTGTGCTAGCATCTCTGCTTCTGCCGCCTTCTTGCGGGCCCTCTTGAGCTCGATTGCGAAAGTTTTCAGGGGCACAGACATGGTTTCAAGAACTGTTTGCTCCCCATCGTCTTCATCAGATGTGTCGTCCAAGTCAATATCGGTCGGCTCAGGAGTTGGTACTAAACGGCCGCGTGATCCTCCGCCCAGCAAGCGCTGGCTTCCGGACTTGTGTAATTTCTTTTGCTCAAAGATAAAGGAGCGGGAACGCTCCTCGCGTAGGCTGGTGCGATGCTTGGAGCTCCCAGCCTGAGCGTTTGCGCCGTACATCCGCTTGCCGGGAGGGACATAAGGTGTAGCAGCAGCACGAGCAGCTCGAGGGTTAGATGTCTTCCCGGATGATACGAGTACTGTCTGAGGAACACGGGTAGTAAGGTGAGATTTATGGCAACAACTTCGGCAGGGTACAGAATATTCACCCTCAAATAATGTTTAATAGTATCGACGTAACTCGCAGCGTCGACCAGTTCAGGATCCGTCGCAGAACGCGACCAGTTAGGCAAGAGACGACTGAAGATGTTCATCTTTCCGGAGCAGGTGTACTATGAAAGAAGTGTTTCGGTGACGAGGGATAAAAAGTGAAGAAAATGTGGTGGGTGGCTTTGTATCAGGAACCGCAAAACATCAATGGATTTAGCGGGCTACTTCCGGGTCCCGAAGTAAATCGACGAGCTCTCTTCTATCTAGACTAGGTCCATCTAGATCCGGCTCATGTAAATGATGGCGCTTAGTGGTGCAGCAAGGCTTTGATGTCTTGACAGCGAAGAAAGTGGCTACTTACCGTATGGACACAGTCGTTTCCCTCCCTCTTTCGCTTTCTCAAGTTGGACAGACATCGACAACAAACTGCCCTGTATACTAATACACTTTACACCATCACAGTGTCTACCCTCAGCCTCCTCCATATTCTGGGCTTATGTGTTGCGCTCATCTTGTTTTGTGACTCTGACACTGATGAGGGGTCTGTAAAATCTTTTATCAAATATCGAAAACATCGCGCCACTCGGCATATCCATGCCAAGTCACCACCTCAGCACCATGTGTCTTTAGCCGCAGCGCCATGACTTCCAGCTGGCCCCCAGTTACCGCAGTAATCTTACTGCCCAAAGGCTCAGAAGCCCCCGACAGGAAGATGAAAAGCTCAGGCTTGCTGAGTTTCACGCACTGGGCATACACTTGAATTTAACAATAGTTGGACATGAATGCGGTCTCACTTGGCTTGAGTTCACCAGTAGTTCATCAGGCGAGATGCTCAGTAAGCCAGCAACTGCCACTGGGCGAAGTTCGGAAGCTATAAGCGCATGCTATCTATGCGATTCGGATATGGAACTCCGACGGAGTCTGACGCAGCAAGCCAGCAACCCTAATTCCGGAGGTCTTAAATGTGTCGGCAGTGGGCGCTATATGTAAGAGCATGTACAGACTGCTCGTGGCCTTGCAAATGCATAGCCTGACAATTCGTATGTGCTTGCTCAGAGTACATACGACTGTGTAGGTAATTTTAACAGTAGATCAGGGACGTACGTATGCGTTGGCGCTTCCCGAAGCTTGAAGCTTGAAGCTTCGTCTCGTCCCAACCACATGCTTTAATTGAACCTAATTTAAGCTACGACTTCTATTCATTCCGATTGAACTTCTTAGCGATATATTTGGAATGCAGGAAGATGCCTCCTGCACCCACGGCACCAATGCCCGCTACACCATCCCGGCAAGCTCGTTACGACGATTCATCTTACAAGCCTTCCACTTCTGTACGAAAATGCAGTAGCTATGCCCAAGATAATTATAATACTCGCGCAAAGGCTAGTGCTTTCACAATCACGTTTCATTCTGTTAACTACACGCTTCGCTTGTAGACCAAAATCCGAGCTGATGCTAACGACGCCTCTGTAGAAAATGTGAGTAAAAACGGACTCGTGCAGTGTACCTTTTCTTGTTTTCTCACAATCTTGCCTTACCGGCTCTATAGATTACTGAGTCCATTGCTCGAACCCTGACCTTGAAGAGTGAGGCGCTAGGAGCCATATCTCAGGGGGATGAAGAGGCTCGGGTCTGCGCAAGGCCAGCAGACTTGGAATCCAACATTGTCGCCACGGAGGCTCAAGCCAAACTCGAACCACACGATGGTACATCCAGGGGTATTCAGAGTGAAGCTACATGCAAGGCGGGTAAAGCCGTTTCCAGAGATGCGAGCCCGGTTACCGAGGAAAATAAGTCCGCCTCAAAGGAGGATCATATCGCTATGAAAAACGTTGTCCGGTCGCAAGCATCCACCTCGGTCAAAGCCGAGTCCTCGTCCGCGCAAACTGGTGAGAGGGTATGTATGCCCTCCGCGATGCGCAATAGGTCCGCTTGCTAATATTAATGGGACTTATGCAGCTGCATGACAGACTAGGCCAAGTAATAATTTGCTCAGTTTGTTTGGAACAGATGAGGAAGCCACTGATGTACGTCCACCATGTTTCATGCAGATTGACGTTGACGTTCTCTCAGTTTAAACTGCGGCCACACTTTCTGCGTAGGTTGCATTCGACGAATGACAAAGAAGGCTGTGGAGGAGTACTACAAGTACAGTAGCCTCCCCCTCCCTGAGAAGGTGTCATCCAGCGAAGTGCATCAGCTTTTGCGGGATGGCCTCCTCAGGTTGCACTGCCCCTTATGTCGAAGGCGCATTACCCGAAGCCCAGTGATCAATCTACTTGCTACGGCAGTACATGACGTTCTGGAGTCGCTTTGAGACTGTGTAATAATCCCTGTATTTTCTCCGGTTGATTTATTTTGTTTCAACGAGAGCATGTGAGGCGGTCGGCATTATGCGGTGCTGTACGTAGTAACAACGGTAATATTCCAAAGTACAAATGGCGAAAGCAATAACGATTACCCAAACAGGCTTACCTAACCCAGATTATTTACCCCTGGCTACAGCAGCCAGCGCGGGGAGTAATCTAGAACCAGCTGTGCGGGTCGCAAATTGATGGCAAATGTTAATATGACTATGAAGCTTGAAGTTCACACTTCGTTCAAATTCATCATGTACCCCAGCCTCAAGCCGAGAAGTGAGTCAGCGTCAGCGACTGTTTCAGCAGCATGGCATCATGATGATCCTCCTCCTATTCACGGCGAAGATATGTACTATGATCCAGGTAGCTCCAGAACACGCGCCAATCATGCCTCTTCTTCCGAGCTCAGCGTCAACCTAGATGACCGTCACGCTACTGACTTCGAAATGGGTACTAGAGGCTTTGTACGCCCCTCCCCTGCTGGGGCCCTGCTAGCCAGTGACGGCGACTCCGAGGACGATATTGAAGACAAACTTTCCGGAAGTGTCGGTTTAGAGACTCAAAGGTATATGGTTGAGCGAGTTCGCAAGCTCAGATCGTCAGTCGTAAGCATCTAGTTCAACATGTACATTTGATCGTCCGTTAACGATGCCACAGAAAGGGAACTCGGCAGGAGTCTCGATACTAGAGGTGGAAGTTGACAATCTGAAAAAATCGCTCGAGCAAGTACAGAAATCAGTCCAGGCGAGCGGACAGAAACATCAAGGTGAGGGGTCTTGGATTTGAACAGGACCAGCCGAGGCTGATAAAGACTGCCAGATTCGGTGAAGAACCTCCGCGGGCTAATTTCTGAAGAGCTCAGATCAATGCAAGCGGCGATAGATTCCAATAAATCTCAAGTAGAGGCACAACTGCGCGCCTTCGTTGAGAAGCATGTGGAGGCACGGCTACAGGAGTTGGTCAAAGAGCATCGAGAACAGGCTACGGATTTCTCAACAAGGCTCAGTAGAATAACCGCCGATTTGGAATGCTTACGACCACAAACGCCACAGCAATGCTCCGGAGGATGGGAGCCTCATATCGAACGCCTAGAAGAACATATAGCCGTCTCAGGCGGGCTTTCACGTCCTTCGAGTTGGAAGGACGATACTTCAGCGGATGCCAGAGGTATTCGTAGCTTGCAAGATGAATTAGCTGCGGCAACTGACAAAGTAGTGAGTAAATGTCTCGCATCATGAGTCAGACGCTTACAAGAAAGTAAGGCTCTGGATTTGATTCACCGTGAAGACAGGTATCCAGCAAAAGTGCCATCTATCATGCAAATCATCGAGGCTCAGCTCCGGCAATGGATGACTCAGACACTTGACTCGTTCTCCTCAGATCCCATACGCTGGTCATGGTGTCTATTTGTCTCCTTGAGTGTATGTATTGCAATAGGCGCTTTGGTTTGGAGAGGTACTCGCAATGTCCACGAACATCGTCGTCCCAGATATAACGGTGGAGAAGGGTTCAGGGCATTCTGATGTTCAAAGGCCTGCATATTAGTTGATATCTTATGGGTGGATAGAGATGCGAAGCAATTGCATGTACGCTGAAACTTGACCTTGAGATCCTCCCTGGTACGAGGCCCCGTCTTCATACGTGAGAATTCGCCTTCCAAGACGAAGCTGCCTATCGACAGGCTTGCGCGACTTAAGCGATCGACGTTGAACCAATTCTGTGCGAGAAACCCCCATGAAGCTAGACCGTGAGTGTAGTACCGGCAGTGTTACATTCAGCGATCTGATGACGTCGACGTCAACAAGGGACATTGTACCATGGGGTGAAGAGAACGGTTGTCCTAAAAAGGCAGCTCACTCGTAGCGGTCCAAGCCGCGTCGACAGAGTAACTAGCCCTTCTGAATTACTCTATCTGCTGACAGGCTCCCTCACCTCCTATCCGCCCACCGTCTCCCTCGAATCCTTATCCTCAAGCAGCACAGCTGAATGCCTCCCCTGCAGCAGCCGCTGAACCACCCCTCCCAGGCTAGTCACTCCGGCTGTCCGACATCGACTACTCAACCACTCCATCAATCCGCGATGTCCAATGAACACGCCCTCTCGTCCCCCTACAACGTCCGCTAGGCTTGGAAGGCAGACACCATGCCATCTAGAAAGCTCTAGGTCTCCTTCGTCAATAGCTACGAAGCCTGGGCTGCGTCGTTTGACCCAGAGACAAAGCATCGTTACTTCCTCTGCGACCATCGCCTCATTCCCTTCTTGTTTCGGCACCGTTTTCCAGCGGACCGGGCGGTAGCAGCATCAGCCATCTTGGTATCAGCCCCGTCAATGCTGGTGCCGTCGATGCTCACCTCGCAACGACTTCTGCCTTGGCTATTTTCAAGATCGTTCCCGGCAACCATAGCATAGCGCACCTTTCTCTGACACCAAGCCCGGACTACCGCGTCCAGAAACAAGACATCTATATCAGACAGCCTCGATTGCCTGGAAAGAAAGGCAACAAACCGTACGGGTAGAGGCAAATAGTCCCTTTGTGCGGACCAGTGCTCTGGTGTATTCACGACCAACCAGAGGCTGGTACGTTCCTGACGATATCAAGGTGGGATTTCTGTTATATGGTTTGTCTCTCCGTCCTGAAATACAAGCATGTAGTTGCGCGCGATTACACCCGAGTCCTCGCTCGGGATCAGATCGTGAAAATGCACGCCATCTTGTGTAAGAAGGCGCCCTCCCCTCCCCTCCCCTCCCCGGCTCGACCGAACATGAGCAATGAACGCTGACGACGCGCACAAAATGCCAGCTTGAGTGTACTCGCCGGCTTTACCTTCTGTCAGCTTGGGACGATCGACATCGCTAGTCCTTCTCCTGTTCCATCCCGCCCTCACGTAGGTCCAAGAGTACGTCCCTTTCCTACCATCATCACTGTCCAACTTAAAATAAACTAACACCGCAGTTCCAGTCGCTGGCGCCCTACGTCCGCCTCTTCAGCACGCCTGTCAACCTTGATCTCATCTGCTGGAAACGTGACAACCACCTGCTCGCACGGCCTTCACGCCCCTCACCCCCGCTGACGCCGCGTCGCGCCCCACATAGACTCGATAAGCTCTCAGCGCAATCACCTTCGAGGCGACAGGGGGATAGCGTGGGGTTAAGGCAAAATCCACAGTGCCCGAGCTGAATCAAGCGAACAAAGATTTATAGTGAGTCCGCGACGCTGCTGCCTGTTCATGCTTTGTTCGTCGGTTATTTCGCATTGGTACACGGTTATTCTTTGCAACTTTTTAACTGAATTTGAAATCTGTGCTCCTGGCAGAGGAGGCGCAGATCTTGTCAGAGATCATCGACTCGGAGGCGTGAGTCTGCACCTCCCTCCCCCTCACTCTTAAAGCTGGCAACCGAGCTCTGAGTATTCGCATTGACAGCTCTGAAACTCTACGCCCCAAGCTATCAACCAACGTTGCCAACCGTGATGAAAACGCATTCAAAGCTGCATCCCACTGATCATGGCTGCTGTGCTCCGCGATAGTGAATTTTCGCCCTCCCTCTCCCCTGCAGCCACTTTGATCTGTGGAAAGCGCAGCTATATATAGCAAGACACGATCGAATAAACCGAACATCCATCTTGGAGCTGTTGTCTGCGTCATTGCAAGCCTGGGTTTGTACGTGTTCATTAACACGTTAGGTCCCGCCCCACGTCTTCCTTCACTTCCTCTTGCGTGTCCGTGTTGATAATCTGACTCATGAGTTTGGCTTTGACATATTGGCGACGCCAGAGTCTGCTGTTCTGCTGTGTCATGACATCGGACTTCCGAGTATTAAATCTGCTAGTCTGTAATATGAACATGATTCTCTCCCAGTACGAAGTCAACTTCAGGATCTTCTCTATGCATTGTTGATTGTGGCAAATGATACCTTTCCTGAGCTCAATCTTTCCTAAGGTCTGCCTCGTCAAATCTACGGGGCTCTGCACTGGAGCTGTTGCAGGAGGCTCGTGCATGCCTATTGCTTATAGTGTTGGCCTTCTCTGTTCTGGAGGCTTTGCTCAGGACAATGGCAGTCTGATTGAGCCTTTTATTTCCCCCCTCTCTCTACGCATCCCCGGGATGACTCGGACTTACCCATTCATCAGTACATTTCCGGCCATGCACTCATAGCGGCCCCCAAGATGTCTTTCTCTTTGAACCAAAGATGGCAACCTTGTTTAATATACTCGGCTGACCGTTCTATCGCAATCTATTACAGGTACAGAATAGGCATTTGTCAGCGCCTTGCCCTTCGACTAGAGGCAAAGCTGTCTTCGCTAACCTCAAAGTCATAATCCTCCTCAATGATATTCAACATGGCCCGCTCCCATTCATGCAACCCTGCGAGGTAGTCCGCGTCGTAGCAGTTACGGTAGAGCCCCTTTGGAACGTTCTTCAAAGTAAAGCCATCGGATTCCAACCGTGTGCGCGGTGGGTTGCCTGGTGTAGCGCGTCGATCAATTGGGTTACGCCAGTCATCCAGGTAGAGGTCGTCAAGAGTACGGAGGAAGATTGTGAATTCCTCACTACGCCATGCGAGTCTGATTATACGGAAGTTCTTGGGCGTCTTAGATCCACTAGGGGTCTCAGGGTCTGTTTCATCGTCGCTCATCACATTGCGACGGACTCTGTAGAGAAGTCTATCGTTGTGTCTGTGAAGTTGAGGCCTGGAGTTGCAGACCGAACGTCGAGTACGTAGCAGCTGTTACCAGTGAAAGCTTTCAGTGTTTCCGACATGTGCTGCTTGATCTCAGACCTTACCGTACTCCTCCGGGTTGCCTGAGCTGCGCGCTTTGCTGAACTTTCTGATGCCTCCGGAAGTTCTCCATTTCGAAACTTTCTGTAAACAGTCTTGACGTGGCTGACGTGAGTATCAAGCGCCCAGGCCACTTTCTCATTTGTAACGAAGTCGAAAGGAATGTTCCTATTCTTGATGACACGATCAGTCCAGCACGCCATGAAATGGTCAATGAAGACCTTGCGGGCAATCGAATTGAGACAGAATGTCTTCCAAGGCTGACTGAGGTCAACGCGATAAAACGTTATGGTACAATCCACAAGCGAGTTACTGGTGCCGAAGTTTTCTATTTCGGCCGATGACAAAGGCAACGGGAGCCTCTGAAGCTGCTCGGGCTTGTAGTTGTTTACGCCAAGCAATCTCCGGAAGACCATTCGAACAGCTCTCTAGAGGGTGATCAAAAAGTGAGAAAAAATGAGGCATGGAATGAGTGGGACTTACCTTGAGAGGAATCCAGCTGGGATGAGCCTTGAATACGTCCGGGTCATTTTCGTCTTCCTCGTCGGACTCATCAATATCTTCCTCGTGTAGTTGTGCAAAACCCTTGGGGACGCTGGTCTTCTTACCGCCAGATTTTCGTTTGGCGTTTTCCTGGGGCAAGCCCTTACCAGTCTTGAGTATCGCCTCTGTTGCCTGGACCACCTGAGCAAGCGCGCGTACAATATCTGTGTGCAGGTCCGCATTAGAAGTCTGCAACTGGCTGGTTGCCTTGCTGACTCCATCAAGAATGAGGGCGGCAAAAGCAGCGTTAGCATGGGTTTGGTCTGTAGCTGTGATAGTAGGATTTCCAAGGCCGTGATGATTCTTATCCCCGACGGATGGTTGGAATGGACCGCGACCGTCAGGAGGCCGGATGACAGTACCGTTGAGCTGGTCAGAGGTAGCCTGAACATGATTTATAGGGGCGTGTACGAGCATCTGAGCAATGTGATCGGCATCAGCTTGCAATTCCGAAGAGGGCACAGTGTTTGTAGCGTGCAACTGAGTGGCCTGAGAAGTGCGCTTTGTGTTGGCTGGTTGCTTCAAAGCAGCATGGGATGGAGCAGGCTGGTGAGACTGGCGTTCAGTGCCGTTCGCTATGCTTTGTGTGGCAAGAGGGGCCGCAATTAATTGGCGTGGAGGTGACTGATTAGCGTAGGCGTGCGGTTGCCCGGATAGGAGGCCACTCTTTCCGGTGTATTCTTGGGCAGAATAAAGAGGTACACGTTCTTCAAGGTGCAGCTGATCAGAGGGTAACTGAGAACCGCCACCATCGTTTGCTATGAAGTTCAAGGGGGCAATGAGCAATATGAGACATCGCATGGGTTTAATCTAGAGCGGTATACTTACTGATTGCATTTGTCATTTCAGAATCGTCGTATCGACGAGTTGAGGGCTGGCCAAGCTGATAGGCCCGCGCAACCATTTGTGGGGCATGGACTGTTTTGACAGGACGCGGAATCCGACTCGGCCGAGTTGATGTGTCCGTAGCAAAGTGATCAGGAGCATGACGAGGTGACACAGAGGATCTTGAGATAGCTGTGCTTGTATCGTACTTGTGCACACCAATCCTAGAATCCGCTTTATCGTCTATTGGAGGTCTCGGGTGGTCAGCTGGCGGTCGCAAAGTCAAGAATGTAGATGACTTACAAGGCGTATAACGGTCTTTGCCTTTGAGCGTACTGCGATCAACGCCTCCAGATCCGCCTTTGCCTAATAAGAATTATTGGGGAAAAAAAAAGCAGGCGACCGACTTTCATAAGCTATCAAAAAAATCAAGAAGAGGCAGATCGTCACCCTTTGTGACCGAGGAGGGCTGCGGAAAATGTTCGTATTGCTGCAAGTCAAGGTGTTTCGGTGGGGGCTTGAGAGCTTGAAGTAAACTGAAATCAACCTCGGTATCTTGTTCAGGCAACAACATCTCGCGAGTCGGTTGGAGATCTGTACTAGATCTGTGCGCCGCAACAATAGAGTTCAGTTGGTGCATCATGGACTGTTGCCAGTTTTGTGTAGCCTGCGCTGGTTGGTTGTCCTTGGAGGACGTCAGAAGTACGAGACATCCTACTCAAGAGTCTATCTCACCATATTAAGGAGTTTCAGCCTTTGATCGCTGTCATATGACGCAGAGCCCGGTGTCCATGTTAAAGAACGTTGCGACTCCTGCTAGTCCCACGATTGGCCCAGCCATCAAACTACCGCCTCTCATGATCATCGTCGAGGGAATAAACTCACCACGTGCAGAGTCCCATCATGCTGAGACGATGAGGAAACTATAGACAGCCTGGTGTCACTACGTATCAGTCCCTGCGATCTTTTGGAGAATCCAGCAGGGCGTGAGAGCGAAGACTGTGAAGGTGCATATAGGTTGTCCACTACTAGCTGCTCCGTTGTATTGAGATCGCTTATGGTGGATTGGCGGCTGAGGGCTTGACTGAGGTCGTCTTCATCAACGCAAATTTGGGCAATTACAGCGTATTCATCTTCAGCTTGGTCCGATTCATCTCTACTTGTAAGCTTGGCTCTTAGGAGAGGGTCTTCATCGTGATCATTAATGGCCTTCAGATATTTGGGTTTAGCTGGAACAACTCTAGCAAATGTGTTAAAAACTAACATCAAAACGCTGGTATTTCATCTTGCTGGGTAGAAACTTTTTTAGATTGGGGTCAAGTGTTGGAGGGACCTTGCGTTTGAGACTAGTATGATTGTCTGTATGCCCATCCTGTGCAACTTGGTTTCCGTTAGTCCTGTCCATCGCAAACCGAAAAGTCAAGCTGATGGTAGGGTTGATTGGGCGCTCGGTTGGCGCTCGGCGTTTGGCAAAAGGCCTATCAGAGGCTATCGCGTAAGTGCAATGGCCGGGTACAATCTGAACGTCAAACCAACGGGCCTTTTTACCCATCTGTGTCGGGTCGCTTTACAGCTTTGATAAGGGGGGCATGGTACTATTGCAACATCCAAGGGTGTGAAGTACAACACTGTTCCCTGGAATACTGTGGTCCTACTTTACACCCTTTGGAGGCACCTCGACCTGGCTGGTAACACTTCACATCCTCTCAGGCTCTCCACATGCGTTCGAACGGTGTGCTGCTCGCCCAACTACAGCTCTGCCTTGTGGCAGGTGCAGACCTTATTCGCAGCTTTAGCTGCCTTGCCGACAGTTGCCTGGTGCGCCGGCAGTCGTGACCGCCTCATGCGCTGACCACCAGCGCTCGCGTCTTCCTGGTGATCGGTTGAGGAACGTTACTGCAGCTCGGCTTGGGGGGGATAAACCGGGGGTCGTAATTTGGTATGGGATTGGCATGGACAGTAGCGGAAGCAAAAGCAGGGAAAGGCGGATTTATTAATGACGCCATTGCCATTGGTGCAGGCAAAGGCAAGGGAAGTCCGGACAGAAAGAATGGGGGGAGCATGAAGACCAAGCGGCGAGCATATTATTTGTTGCAAAAAATGTATGGAGCATAATAGCGGTCCCGATACCGCAGCCCTGTGCAGCAAGTCCGTAACAGCCGGCGAAATGTTCTGTGCCGCAAGCGCAGCAGGTTCCTCATGCGCAGAGGCTGGGTGACCAGCATACCGTCGCCACAGTCGCTGTTGAGCACATGGTTGTAGTTTGAACTTTCGGGTTGAATGGCCTCGATAAGCAGACAAGTCGCACTCTTGCGATATGGCAGGCTCATCAGAAGTCCAGTGAGCCAGGATGACTGAAGCGCCGTAACGGTTGTGACTATGCAGCCCTTCACTGAGAGTAGCGGGACGAGGGATCGTCGATGGCGTGAATATACGCGGCGCTGCTGAATCGAAGACCAGAACCAGAGTCAAGGGGTATTTGAGCACAAAAAGGGCCGTTGCAAGCACGATAGGGACCTGGCCTGTGGACTTGAAAGGTAATGGTACCTCAAGCCCCCATGGCTGCTCTTGACTGTAGTGATCTGGTCGCAAATCTGGCAGGATATGATGGATAGAGACGACGTCCGCAGGGGTCACAGCATCAAGCAACCTGACGCGATGTCTAACCTCGCCGGTAAGCGCTCAGGCTCCCCTGCGCAAATGTCCAGAGCGTTGCACGATTGAGTTGCGAGATGGTCATGACGTATGGTAACGTTTGGAAGTATCAAGAAGAAGTGGCCTGAGAGGGATCCGTATAAGAATATAAAACGGGAATGGGTGTACACCACTCACTCTATAAGAAACGCCTAAGTCGCCCTTATCTTTTCTCGGCGCCAACATATCCGTGATCCCGGATCGCAAAGATGGATAAGGCGTTCGGTACCTCGTGAGCATGTCGCGGATGAGACAAATATCACAAGAACTTACAGTGCATTGCTGCGCTGTCCCTGCATTGCGACACGCAATAAGATGGGGAATGCGAACCGATTTGGCTCGACGTCTGGCCGGGACGGGCACAATTATGTATGTCATAGTGGGCACGTCGAAACTCCAAATGTTAATCAACAAACTCGTCATGTCAGACATACGGACTCACACATTCACCAATTTGAACGACTCACATGTCTTCATCGTCTTCGACAACAGACAGCAAGCGCTGGACAGCTTTTCATTCGGCCCTGCAGGTCGCTATCTAGCAGGCTGCTCACAAGTGTTCGTCAGTTTCAGCTCATCCGAGTGAATGAACCGCGTGCTCACGTCGTCTGCGCCGCGGATACGAAGACTTTGTTCAGTGCTTCTCAGTATGGTGCAGCGAGGATCCAGAGGGCGCGCAGGCAGTGTTCAACGCCGTCTCACGGCATATGGGGTCCCAAGTCACCGTGCTTTATAATTATCTCATACCAGTCGAACTACGGCCGATCGTTGACGGTACAATCAGACTAGCTGCGAAACCCTCTTCTCTGAGCAGCACGCGCGCGAGGGCGTCAACATCCTCCATGTCGTCGTCACCGAAGCCCATGTACGCAAGAAGCAAGGCGAGACCGATTGCCTCGACATCTGGTGTGAGAGCCTCGACCCGCACATCGCGGTATCAGGGTTATGGAGGCAGTGGTGAAACGGCTGAAGGCAACGCTGAGTAAGGTACGTGTCTCTGCTACTTATCTTGAGTACAGTGGGTTTTTGTGGAGGATGCTGACCCATCCCGGGCTGATGGAACAGGAAAATCTAGCAATCAGCCGACAGATAAAGGAGGACGATGCAACGGCGCAGGAGGCAGAGGAGGAGGCGAACGAGCTGCTTGATCTCCTTAGACCATCGCGGAAGTGCGGGTTTGGGTTCGACGTGAGCGACATCTACCTTTGTACTACCTTTGTATACCCGTTGCCGTGATACTGAGATTCTCCTCTCTGGAATCAATCGTTCAGGTGTACGAAAAGTGGAGCAAACTCCCGCAGGACGATATCAGTCTCTGGACGCTACAACCCGCAGAAGCGTTGGATGCAACAGAGACGCCATAACGCAGCGAGTTTCGCCAAAATGGAATTAGCTCAGAATGGGCGTTGCCGCAGGTTGCCGCGATCTTGCTTGCTTTGATATGTTATTATCTGTACTCTATAATCACGCATGTACCCGCAGCGTCCTTATCGCGCTTGTAATCTACTCATTCAACTCGTCACGGACACCCTTCATGAACCAGGAGAAAGACGTACTAATCAATCTCCCCTCCGACGCAGAACTCATCACAGATCCACGAAGAGGTGCATATATGCGTCGTTCTCAGGCATCTGACTCCCTTGTCTGACGCACTTCATCTCCGTCGCGTACTCGCCTGTCTACACCACCATGGTCCTCTATGCCTCTTTAGATATTCTTTCTTTACACCGCCCTCCGCGGTGCATCCACCGACCTCGTTGGTCCAGACGGCTACCGTGGCTTAGGGCACATCGACTCGCGCCAGGACACACGCTCTATCGACATCACGCTCAGACGTCCTCCCCCCGGACGCGGCCGACGTCGTCACCTGTTCCACTCTGTCGCTCGACCAGTCTCGCCAACGTCAACAGCTGCTCGAGATACAGACAAGGGCCAAGGAGGAGAGAAGAAACCTCGCGCATCGCGACAGCAGAGGAAACAGAGCTCGAAGAGGCAATCTCAATCTGGAGATTGTGAAGACGTTCACCCTTGCGCAGGATAAGATCGCGCTCAAGACTCGAAGCGGAGACACAGGGAGCGTATTATGGCGCGCAAGGTTCGTTCGATCACTTTCTTCCTTCATGTATGCGCAACCAGCATCCAAGCTTAGCGTCTAACAACCGCTGTTCACAGTGTTGAGCTTGCCCGGGTCATCCTTCAACAGAATGCCTTCCCGCCCATGAGCTCCCTCCCTTTATTCAATGGAGCCACGCTGGCAAATTCTCACGTCCTCGAACTCGGGTGCGTTCCTAGTTCCATCCTGCTTCGTTTCATTATCTCAACCCACCTGCCAAACCCGCAGAGCAGGCACAGGCCTCCTCGGCGTAGCCCTCTCCCCGCTTGTGCGCACGTACACGCTCACAGACGTCCCCGCGCTCCTCTCACTACTCCAGAAGAACGTGGCAATCAGTCTCGCGCCGACTACCTCGGACCCGGATTCAGCGCCGCGTTCATCTCTGAACAACATCGCTGTTGAACCTCTCGACTAGGAAGTCCTACTGTCGCTGTCTATGACACGATGGTTTTTACACCCGCCCCCCCCTTCGAGTGAAACTGCTTTTTCACCTCGTCGGGTGGGGGAATTTCCACCGTTTCCCTTTTCACAGTGGATCCCACTGTAACTCAGAGGATCGGGAGACCTCCTCCAAGTGACACATATGTCGCATGGGAGGCTGTTCCAACGACATGCCAACTCCATCCCAAGGCTATCTATGCCGGGCGCTCTCGACAAAGCATCCGAGCTTGGCCTATTCCTCGTTTGGTCCCATCAAACTTACTGTTCAAGGAACCCTCTCGGCCACGTAGGTATCGTTCGCGTGGCTACCATTTTGGTAACTGGAAGAATCTCGGGTGTTGTGCTATGCGACTCGACTATCGAATCGAATAGGGATGTCTCCATTAACGCTTATTTCTAGTGGGAGGTATGAAGGTGAAGCGTCTCTACTTAACGATGGCGACGCGGCACGACACCGCAATTGAAGAAACTTTCGAATGCGTATGCAAATCCTCCAGACTAATTCCGTACGAATACAACCACCTCCTTGTCTATCAACTTATTGATACTTTCCTAGATTGCTCGGTTACGGCTGTGCTCCCGTAATCAACATGCCCTAAACGAACCATTCGCGCTTATCCCATTTCTTCCTATCCGACTGGTATTCTAACCTATCAGTCTGATGAACGTAAGAATAACCCATATACTACAGTACAGTAACATTTTCGATCATATTTAAGTTCAAATTCAGAATCCAACTAAGTCCATACTTACGAGAGAACCTAGTAATGTGAACGCACCACCCAAAAGAACGCAATCCATTTTCAGCTACTCACGTAGCGGAAGCTCTCCAGGACTAGTAATCAGAAATGACTAGTAATCACAATATGCGGCAATTAACCACAAAAGTTTACGCTAGAGACGTTGGTACACAGGAAACTCGGCCTGGTGAATTCGACGCGCCTAAAGGCAATCGCGGCACCATTAACTCAACGAATACCACGTGACTCATGGGCCAGCGCCCCATATACCATGGCCAGCTACGCTAGAACACCATCCATCCCCCTTGCTTATCGGAGACACCGTCCTCGTCGACATCCAGGTGCATGCTGACCAGCTCACGCCGTGAAATCGGGATCCTCCCGTCCTATCCATGAAAGTCACAGCCCTCTGCTGCCTATACCGCGACAGCACCCCGCCCATCTCCACGAGTCGCCCCCCCAAACACACCCACTCACCCGCGCCGTCTCTCCGGCGTTCGTCGCCCTCAACAGCCACAAGAACCCTTTATTAGGCCGAATATCCACGAGAGACAATGGCCTTGCGCGGCGGCAGCGGCCCATTCGATGTCTCCGAGCCCTGCGTCCGCCATACGTGGGCCGCCCTCTTCCCCGCCTCCCTTCGTCCTCCTCTGCGCTGGCTCCCTGCCCCTGCCCCTTCCTGCGTTCGTCAATTGACGGATTTTGGACACGCAAGTACTCTCAGTCCTTTTTACGGCGTTCTTCACCAGGGCGCCAAGGCACGCTCAATGAAGACGTCTGGGATCTCAACCCGATTCTCCAGTCTCGCCCGGCCTTCCTTCGTTTCGATTCTGTTCCGTAAGTTAATGATACTAGATAATTTAAGCTCATGCTAATATCTCCGCTGCAGCCACTCCTCGCCTTCCCAGCGTCTTTGGGCTGCCAGTATCCTCGATTCAATGTACGATTTCATAATAACGCACTACTTACGAAGGTATAGTCGCTAACGTGCCTCTAGATTGGGTTCTACCTTAACAATCCTGACTATCACCGTTAACTATGCGTCTGCATTCTTCCTCAAGTACGTCTAGAAGCTTCTTTGTGATTCCTTGTATATTGCTCACAGAGTTCGTCTTTCTTAGGCTCATTCCCGATGTTGTCGCACACAGATCCGCAGAGAACCAGTCCCGGGCGTTCATCTACACACTCCTCACGTCCCTGTGTGCTGTTCTCATGGTCTATACCTCCTAATCGTCTTCCTACACCTTTTCATACTAATTACCATACATTATGTTCTCGCAGGCCCAAGCAGACGCCCAGTACCTCCGGTTCAGCTACCATGCCGCGATGCGCATCCGCGTCGGACTCGTCGGCGCTATGTACGACAAGACACTCAAGCGCGTCAATACTCGGGCATCGCCGACAAGTCCGAGCAGGCCGCTGGCGCCGAGTTCGCTGCCGATGCGAAGGGCAAGAACGGGAAGGGCTAAGGGTCCAAGGGGCCGAGTGTGTATACGGGTGCGGGCAGGGTCGAGCCGCTCTCGAGTGTGGATGTGGGTGATGGTGAATTTGATGGCTGTCGACGTGAATAGGGTGAGATTTTGGGTGTCTGTTTGGTTAGAATGAAGAGCAAGGCTGATCTGTTTCTTTTGCGATAGGCGACTACGGTGGTGTCGAGTCTCTTTATGTTCTACGGAGGTACATCCATCTTCTGTTTCCTACATGTTTGCGATTGTCTGACATGGATGTTTTCTTTTTCAGCGCCCATCGAGAGCATTATGGTGAACGTCCTCCTCTACCAGTACGCCTTAACCTCCCCCCCCCCCACCT